TTGGTCAACAGTTGACTTTTAGTCAACTCATTGATTTTTTTGGTCATATGATGACTTATTAATTAATGATTGGAAAATTACGCAATATCGTATTTATGAAACACCATATTGATGTGGTATTTTCATTTATGAAATACACACTTCATTATACATTGATTAATGAGTCATGAGATGAGTCATTAAGGTAGTATGGTTTGGGAACATGGTTTTAGCACATAGTTTTGATTCTTCATGACTCTTTGCAGAACTCATGAGATGAGTCATTGCATGACTCGTGAGGTGAGTCATTGCATGACTCATGAAAGAAATCATTACATTTAGATGACTCGTAGTATGACTCATGAGATGAGTCATGACATATCTCACTCTATATATATGAGCTCTCTCTCTCTCTCTCTCTCTCTCTCCTATGGAGAGGTTAATGAAAAATTGGCTAAGTAATTTTTTCCATAAGAGAATAAAAGAGAGCTCTACATCTTACTAAACTCTAGCAATCTTTAAGTAAGAAGAAGTAGTAGGATTTTAAAAAGTACCTCGGAGTGGATAACTTACCTTGTGTCTCAAGAAGACTCTGATTTTATCAAGCTCACTTGAAGACTTGGTGATACACTACAAGGAGGTTTACAACAACAAGGAGAACGAGGGGTTGTTCAATCTACCATCGAATCACGCTACGAAAGTAAGCCTTCAAAGCTCTTGGTTGCTCTCTTTATTATAGTGATCATATTAGATTTAATTAGGATGGTCCTAGCTTGTATTTCATGCTCTCTACATGCTTAGTATTATTATACATACAGTCTTCAGTTGCGTATTTTGCATGTAATTAGTATGAATTTCCAACAAAAGGTTGCTCCTATTGAGGATAAAATGAGAGAGAATTGATTAAGGTGGTATGCTGATATAGAACATAGACCTTTTAGTGCAGCGGTTAGGAAAATTGATGATATTATAGTTCATGGAGCAAAGAGATCTAGAGGTAGACCTAAAACAACTTGGTTGGAAGCAATCAAGAAATATATGATTATGCTTAGCTTAACAGAGGAGATGACCCATAATAGAGCGGAATGGAAGAATGAGATTTATGTAGCCGACTCCGAACATTTGGGATATATGCTTTCTTGTTGTTGTTGTTGTTATCATCATCTAATATGTGAGTCATCAGTCCACCATGATATTAGTAAATTTTTGTTGGGGAAGGGCCCACCCATAGTAGCTTGTTGTTGGGACCCTTGAGCATCACCCATGCATTACTATTAATTGTAGGGCGTGGCGCACCAAGGTAAAATAGAAAGTTCAAATAATAATGATAATTTGGAAAATTGTTGTGGGCGAATAGCAGTCCCTATTGAAAGTACCCTAGAGGGGGGGTGAATAGGGTTATTGCTAATCTTATTAGATATTAATGTCAATTAAAACTTATTAATAAATATATCCTAACAATGATAATATTCAATAAAATATATGCAAGGATATATATGCAAAGGGAAAAAGAACAAGAAACAATATAAACAAATAGTGGACACAAAGGACAATCCAAACACAATAATATGATCACGGAGTTCGGACCTTCCGTCCTACGTCTCTGCTCCCCACTCCCGGGGAGAACTCCACTATCGACACACCCGGTTTGGAAGCCGGAACTTCTCTACACACTCGGTTTTCTAGCTTCCTGAAAACTCTACAAATCTCTCACAATGTACATACACAAACTAGAACCTCAAGTGTTGGTCCTCACGTATCGCCTCCCTCAAGTGCTCGGAATTATCACCTCTCACTAGGCCACCGACACCACTCCTCTCAGTATCGACTACGTCCTCACCACACACTCCTCTCGGTGTAAATGTGTATTACAAAGTGATACTCACAAATAAAGCTCAAATACAATAGATTGTTCTCTAATAATGAATGAGAACACAATGAAGCTCACCCTTACTAATTCACACACCAATACCCAAAAATATATGAAATAATCTAAGCTCAATAAGGGTGTGTGTGAAAAATGAGAACAATGAAAATCCAAATCAATTTAATATAGCAAGTTATGAATATGAAATTGATAATCAATAAGCTATATGAAAGAGTTTAGATAAACTTCTCTGAGAACACTAAGAACTGAAAAGGTGATGATGAGGATGAATTCCTCAATTAAAATTAAAAGCTTCTTCTTTGTGTAAAACTTCTCTTTTGAAACAAAATTTGAAACAAGGCTTTAAACACCTCTTAAACACTTGTAAACTTGGTTAAACAATTTTCTTAATAGTCAGAATGTTAAATGCACTGGGGTATTTATAACATCACAAAACATTAGCAAGAACCCAAGAAAAAAAGACCAAGAAAACCATAAGAAGACAAAAACAGAAAATGGTCGTTATAGTGTTATGAGTCGACTCGTACTTTTCATGACTCGACTCATAAGTAGCCGTTACAGGCTAAAAACCAACTTATAGGTCGACTCAAAAAATTCATGAGTCGACTCATCATGCATGGGTCGACTCATGAAATCATGGGTCGACTCAGCAGAAACAAAACTCAATTTTCAGCACACTTCATGGGTCGACTTATGACAAACATGAGCCGACTCATCCTGATGGGTCGACTCATGATGTTTGTGAGTCGACTCATCAGAAACAAATAACAACTACGAGGCAGTTTATGAGTCGACTCATTATTGTTCATGAGTCGACTTATAAGCATGAACACGGAAAAAAAATCACTTTTGAGCCTTGTTAAAAAATATCAAATAAATTCTAAAAAATGTAAAACTTTAGGAATACTTTATAAATATAGTATTAAACACATTTGAGAAGAAAGTTTGAAAATTGCATTTGCCATTTGTAAAAGATCATTAATTTGGCAAATGCGCATATATATGTGTAAGTATGAAAACATGTATATATATACATATGATTTTGATAAAGAGGTGTATTTCAAAACTAATGTAAACCAGTATAATGAGTGTGTGTATATATTGAGCTTAGAGAATAACACACGATATATACCAGAATATTTAAACAAAGTTGACCTGGATCTTTAACTCTGATATAAACCTGTAATAAGTCATAATCACTAGAAAACAAAGTTAGTTATAAATTGTTTGTAAAATCATCAAAACAACACAAGAGTGTAGGTTCAAAACTAGAATCCTAACACCTATTAGAACCTCTCACATCGTGCAGGAGGATCTGAACCTTTTTTTTAGGGGGGAGGGGGGTAGATGACCCGACTAAGGGAGGGTTATTGGTTGGGACAAATTGGGGTTAAGTGGGAAAATTATTCCAAAGGAACAATTTTATCCCTTTGGGATATTTTGAGTGGGGTAAAATGGGATAAAGTGGGATAATGAGATAATTTGAGACTTTGATTTGAAAATTCATGTGAGATAGTTGATGATGTGGCACCTTATTAAAAAATAATTTTATCTATTAATTACATCTAAATTAACTTATCCAATTGGTTTAGTACATTATTTAGTATATTATTATAATATAAATATTATTTTACTTTATATTAAAATAAAATATATTATAATATACTTACAAATTTCTATTATTAATTATTATATGGTATTATATTATATTATATTAGCATGCTATACTATATATAATAATTAATATAATATAATATCAATATATTTAATATAATATTTTAATAATATAATATTTAATATAATACATTATTTTATTTATACAAAAATATAATATGTTATACAATAATTACTAATTAACATTATATTAGTATGCTACATTATATAATAATTGATATAATATATGAATAATATATATAATATAATACTTTAATAATATATTATTTAATTTAATTATGTTATTAAAATATTAATATATGTTATATTTTATATATCATGTCATATGTTTATAATATAATTAGCATGTATTAGTTAAGTAATACAAAAATATTTTAAAATTATCCCAATTGCTTTCAAAGTGGAACAAAATTGTTCCAATAGAGGATGTGGTAAATTTTTACTATTGGAACAAAAATTTTGTATATGAGTGGGGTAATTTTATCCCAAGTGGTGTCATTGACTCACTAGTGTTCCAAAAAACCAATAACACAAAAATGTATTATCCTTGTTCCATTGTCCCAATGAATAACACTTTGAAATAGAATCCCAAAAATTATCCTATTATATATCCCCAAAAATGTCTCAACCAATAACCCCCCTAATTAACCCCCTTTAGCTCAATCATGATCATCCTCTAGAGGGGGTGTTCCGATAGGATTGTTACTCGATGCCGGCTTGAGAAGAGTCATAATGATTTTCCTAATTCTTATGACATCAATGAAGGCTTCGGAATGACTTTTGTTATGAGATCAAAGACCAAGTAGCTTATATGTGTTTTCTCAATACAACTCCAACAAAGACGGAACTTTAATCATCCCATTCGGTTTTCGACAGACATAACGAATTTAGATATTTCTTCGATCTTCTCCTCCTCCCTTTTTTTTTTTTTTTTTTTTTTTT